AAGTCACCTGTGACTCACAGCAACCCTATGGACAGCAGCTCTGAAGCTTGCCTTGTACTGAGCCAGTCTCACTGATTCTGACACACCTACCCCCATTGCCCTAGTTACTGTATCAATCCATCTCATCTGAGGTCTTCCTCTCCTGTGCTGTCCCTCCACCCTTCCCAGCATGATGATGTCCTTTCTGATAAGTGCTTCTGGTTAGTGGTAAGGAACTGTAATACTTACCTTCCTGCATACAATTTTAATCTACTTGCTGATATGCAGGAGACATACGGCAATCTCCTCCCACGCACGTGATTTACAGCCTCGGAAAGGCAGCTGGATGGTCAGCTATGAGTTGTTTCTGATTTGATGGTTCATAACAACATAAATAACTTTAGAGATTCATTGTTGTTATTAGAGTCATGGCAACTAATGATTTAGAAATTTTACGTAGTTTTCCTGATATAAATGAAACTGACTTCCATCTTCCATGGACCAGGTGATGGATTCAAATCAATGACCTTTTGGTACTGCACTGCTGTCGGCAGAGTTCTTAAGTTTTCATGATAGAGTCATTCAAAGGCCAGTATTTCCATTTGAAAACAAATTGTAGATATTATTACACCTGTGAATGCATATAGGGTTTTAAAATCCTTGAATCTTTGCCTGCATGGATGATGGCAACATTTATGTCTTGGTGTTTTGCTGAAAGATTATTTCACGTATTTGTAGCAAGTTTTCTTTGATCAAGAAGGGCTTGTTCATTATTTTTATAAGCTACAGCTTTTTTGTTCCTTTCTTTTTTACTCTTTTTTCCTTGTGTGATTTAAAAAAAATTCCGTGAAATTTAGATGTCATAAAATTCACCTTTTAAAGGGGTGCAATTCCGTTTCCTTCTTGTTTCAATTGTTTGTTTTGATGTTTTAAAAAAAGGTTGTTAGAGCTCTTTAGTTTAAAAACAAATTTAGTCTACAAATCATCTCCAACAGCTCTATAGATGGCAGCATTGAGCAATATATTTTGGTAATAGGTGGTTTCTTCTTGCTGTGAGGAGTGAATTTTTCATGCAGTGTATTTCATTACAATAGACCGCAATATTAATTTCGTCTGAGATGACAGGATAGTATTTGTACCCGCTCAACGTTACTTCAGTTCGATTCCACAAAAGCTTCTCTTTCTGTCTGTATATTGTATGAACCAAAGGTGAATTTGCATTTCCAGAGTTATGTCAGCTCATTAATAAAAAAACACCCAAAAGGTGTAGAGAACAATTTAACTTACTATAGTATAATTTTAGAATTATTAACCCCCGTTAGCTTTGGTAGTAACGCATCATCATCGATTAGCAAAAACCAGCAACAGCATCGGATGATGAGCAATTATCTTTCACTGAAACTCATCAGTCACCTACCTCACCACAGAATTGTCACCACAATCTGGTTTATTTCACGATTCCTCTGGAATATTTTAGCCACTGAGTTGATCTTTAAAGCAGAAAAAACCTTTACCATTGTAAGATTATTTGTGAAAAGCTTTTGTGATAGCGGAGCGTTGTATGTGATCAAAATCGTCATCTTTCTATGAAGGTGAAGTGAAAACATTTGCAAATGAACTTGACCTTGCAGCCCTTCCCTTTTTGAAGGACAGAAATGGAATCCCTGGTAATGTATAAGCATTCTTGCAGTCAGGGGTGAAAATGTGTGGGGTATATTTTCTTTCTCTCAGTGGGGAGGGAGTGTTGTCTGAATGCTTTGGGTAAACCTATGGATTGGAATTGTTTTTCTACCGTATGTGAAATGCATACCCCACCCCCACGACCGTGCGAAAGACCAACCCCGTAGGAGCCTCATTTGGTCTTACCCAGATAACAAGATAGCTAGTAAACAACCCCTTTATTATCTGTCCTTTTCCTTGCCAAGGGTAAAACCTCGCTCAGTTATACTTTCCTGCGAACTTCAGGCTTCCGCATCTCCTTCACGCCCCATAAAGCACTCCAGACACCCCCCCCCCTCGTTAGCTGTTGTTGCAGCCTCGTTACCACGTCCCAGATCAGCTATTTATAGCCTTGTTGTGGTGGGCACGTGTGCCCGCATCACCAAGCTGTCAGAGGAGAAGAAGGGCGGGCTTTCAGTTCCACAGTGTGGGTGCAAAGCAGAGGTTTAGATGAGGGTGCATGACGGCAGGGCCGAGAAGGGGGCGGGGGCGATAGATTCCCAGGCTCAGGTAGGGTGTAATCCCTCTGCGGGGCCCCAAACCCAGGTCACGTTTCCCACGCTACTGAATGGCGTCTACAATTCCCCCCCCCCCTTTTTCTTTTTTACTACGCTTTGCAACCTACCTTGGTACCCTTCTCCTCCCGCTCCATCTCCCCTCCTGTAAAGCAAAGCTTGAAGGACAGGCAGTCCCGCCAATCAGCAGCGTCCCCAAGAACTCTTCCCTCCCGCCCGCGCGCATTAGGCCCAGGCGCTCTGCCGGGCTGCCCGCGCGTCCCTCGCAGTGAGCATGCCCAGCGCCAAGCTGCCGCGTTGCGGGGCGGGCGAGCATCCCGCAGTGCCCAAGGTGGAGGCAGAAGACGGTCCCCGCGTGCAAAGGGGCGGGAACTCCCCAGTGACCCCGACGATAGAGTGGAAAAATAAAATCGCATGAAGCAGAATGACAAACGTCATTCTTGGTAGGTTCTTGGAGCTAGCCGGGCAAGCAGGGAACCAACTGCATGTTTATACATCAGCTTCGATTAAAAGCACAAAACAAAACCTTAAGGGGCGTTTGCTTGTTGTGAGGCGCTTTCCAGGAGCGAGGTGAGGGCGCAGGGGCTCTTCTCATGAGGCAGTCCTTTCCTCCATAGCTGCATCCTCCTCCCCATTCTGCACGACTATATTTGTGCTCCAGACTTGCGGGTGGCACTGTGATTAAGCAGCTTGAGTTGCTGATCTTAGATTGACGGTTGGCACCTACCAGCCGCTCTGCACGGGGGAAAGATGCGGGGGAAAGACGTGGCCAACTGTCTAAAGATGTCTGCCTTGAAACCCCCTGGGGCTGCTTGATCTGTCCTAGAGGGTTGCTGTTGAGTCTGAAAGGCCTAGGTGGATATTTTTTTGGGCCCAAGATAAAGGCGTGGGGTTTCTCAGTGAGTATGCAAGCCGGATGGGAAATAACATTGCCCCCAATTTTTCACAGTTGGGCCTTGGCTGCCTGTAGATTCCCAATACCTTCTTGTAAATCACAAATCGACTTTGGAACGTGATATGGGGCATCTCCTCTCCAAGGAAGGCCTGCCCGCCCCCCAGGTGTGCGCCACGGTCACTGGAAAGTGGTGGCCAGATGATATTTACATTTTCTCTCTAGCTGATTAGCTTCTAATCCCACTGCGTCAGGATCTGGGGTGCTTCCCAGGATTTCTTTGGAATAACCATGACCCTCTCAATCACTGCCCTTGAGCGTCCAGCTGTTCCCTAGCAGCATATCCGGGGATTCCAAGGTGGAAGACTGGCGCAGAAGTCCCTTCCAAACCTTGCAAAAATGCAGATCTCACCGTGGCCTATCACCCAGAAACCCAAATCCAGCGTCTCCATTTCCAGGCAGGAAAAACCCTTGGCTGGAAACCTCCCCCTCGAGGGGTCGATCTTACCTGCTAGGTAAGATGCCGCCCCGCTCCGCGCCCCCTCCTCCCGGGCCCTCCCACCCGGGACTCCGCCGCCGCAGTGCCCCCCCGCCGCCCCCCACCCTCACTCCTGCGTCGGCCCGAGCTCGCCCCCTCCTCCGTTTTCCCAGACTCCCCTCGTGC